GAGGGGGCGGGGGAGGCTGCTGAGACTCACCCTTCGAGTCTGTCTTGCTAGGTGTGGGGTCGTGGGGCGGGCGTTGGGCCCTCGGACCGGGGCTGACAGTCCCGTCCCCCGCCTTGGAGGGGGGCATTTGCGAGCAAAGGCCAGGGTGAGCGGGGCCCTACAGGATCTGGGTTGTGGTGGCATTTGCTGCATGGTGAAGCAAGGCGGGAGCATCTCACCAAGGGCTCTGTACTCGGTGGTCGTTGTGGCTTTTTCATCTAGCTCCCACCAAACTCCCAAACGCATTGTGGTTCTGAGCATTTACAGGCTGCGGTGGGTCTAGTGGTCATGCTGATATCGTCTAAATCGTTCTTAAAATAAGCTGGCATTCAAATATTTCAGTATTATCTGGCTTTTCCCGCCCCACAAATCTTTGTTTTTGAACTACGTGTGTGTTCAGAAAGTTTCAGCTAACTTGAGGCACTTACCGCTGGGCTGTTCAGTTAATTACATTAATGTTGTTAATAATATATATTAATGTTGCTTGTCTGCATTCCATACTCTTCTTGCATTTTTGGAATATGTTTTCTGTTGGAAAGTGATTTAATACTCAGAAACTGATTGCAAAGTCTTGTTTTGAGATACGATCTTGAAAGCCCTTTTCTGTGTAAGTGGTTCCGCTTCCTGGACTAATTTTTTGTAGTTTTATGTCCCGGATCTGTATTTGAGATTCTGAATTGCACCCAAAGCCATAGGGAGTGGTGGAAAATCAGTGAGGGAAGAGCAGGGGAGTAGGAAAATAACTGCACACTGCTGTTGAAATACAAGTTTCATAAGTAAGAAAACTGTGTTTGCTTCTTGTATTTTCTCTTCCTCTTTCTTGCCTTCCTACTTTGCCCTCTTCAGCTTTTGTTTCAGTGCACTACTTTGTAGTAGTACAGATTTTGCAGGCCAACTGTTAAAACACATTGCTTAAGTTTTTTTGTCTGTCTGTCTACCTGCCTTTGGGATTACTGTGCCTAATGGCAACAGGACCAAAGTTGTAACTGCAGTGGAAGCGAGTTCTCTGTGGTTTAGAAGATACGTGTATGGATGACTTAAAAATTCACTTTATTTTTTTCTCCTTGTTCCAGATGGAAAAGAAGAGTTCATGGTTTCTGGTTTGCATAATAGCAGAGGCTGAATACGCATAAAGGAGACTATAGTGCGGGTGAGAAGTGTCAAGCCCCTTGCAAGGCTTTGCTCTGTAAAAAAGAAATGAATCCTACAAATGATGATCCAGTGTTTGGGACCATTTTTGACTGGGACTATCTCTTATGGGAAGTTCGTTTGACATTTTTAGCTGCTGGTTTTTTAATCTACTTGGGAGTATTTCTTCTGTCTCACTGGTTGTCTTCATGGATAAGTACCACTTATCGTGCCTTGTATGCAAAGGAGAAGGTCTTTTGGAATATGGCAGTCACACGTGGTGTGTTTGGACTTCAGAGTTGTGTTGCTGGGTTATGGGCTTTGCTCATAGATCCTGTTTTTCATGCTGACAAAGTGTATTCACAGCAAAAGTGGAGTTGGTTTAACTGTTTAATAGCTGCTGGATTTTTCTTGCTTGAAAACGTAGCTGTTCATGTATCCAACATTGTTTTTAGAACATTTGATGTGTTCTTGGTAGTTCATCACTTGCTCGCTTTTGGTGGCTTGGCTGGTCTAGTAATTAATGTGAAATCTGGACATTATCTGCCTTTGATGGGAATGTTGCTGGAGATGAGTACTCCCTCAACGTGCATTTCCTGGATGCTTCTAAAGGTAAGAACGTGATAATTTTCAAATTATGTTTGTAACAGTTTTCATGCAGCTCCCTTGTCCATGGGTAATCTGTGTGGTTTGTCTAGATAGCTTTTCAGCAAAACTGCATTCATCTAACTGATATCCATATTATTGTGATACCTGCTTTGGCGTGATATTTCTGTGGTCCTCCATATAGATTTCTGTGTGATGCTGTGTGCATGTGGACAGTGAGATAGTATAGATTCATTCTGAGTTTGGGATGCTGTATGCATGTGGAATAACATAGCTCTACGTGGAAAAAATGCCTGAGAGCATTTGTATATGTGAAAGCTGGATATTTGCATTAGTTCTACAGATTCCTCAGTTCCTTATCTTGAAATAACAATCTCACTTCTGCGTACTTTCTGTTCTTGTTTTTCTAGGCTGGCTGTGCTAATACCTTTTTCTGGAAGGCAAACCAGTGGGTGATGATCCACCTGTTTCACTGCCGCATGATTCTTACTTACCACATGTGGTGGGTGTGTATTTTCAATTGGAATTCTGTGATGGAAAATCTGGGACTTCTTCATTTTATTGTTTTATTCTCGGGATTATTTGCTGTTACACTAATACTTAACCCATACTGGACATACAAAAAAACCCAGCAACTCCTCAGACCAACTGACTGGAACTTTGAAAATAAAGCAATGGAAAATGGAAAATCAAATGGTGAAACACATCAAAAGAAGAGGATATAACACTGTTTACTAGTAGGGTAGTGGAAGAATACAATGAGGAGTAATTCTTTGTCCATGAACAAGAAGCTTTTGCAAGAAGCTAACACAGTGATTCCTTGCTGGTAGTATTCTGTATGCATCAGAAGTGTTTAAAAGCATTGTTTGTGTTTCATATGTGCATACACATAAGATTTTCAACCTCTTAGTTATGAATTATGCCAACAATTTTGTCAGGTTGGACAGTGTTTGATGATTTAGTAGGGACGTGCGCTCTAATGGTATCCTTTGTCCTAATGTCTAATGGTATTCTTTGTCCTGATGCCTCAAAGTGGCTTTACAGTTAATTTGTCTATTAAGCTCAGCTTGAATCAAGTTTAGCTTGAATCCTATTTCACATATGTTGGAGATACTGATATTGGAAATTATATTAAGTTGTTTATTAAGATCAATTATGACCCAAGTTAGGTATGCATGGGTACCTAGTTCCTGTGTGCCATTAAATCATTCCAAGTGGCTGAATTGGTCAGTGGTAGAATGCAGTTGTGGCTGGGTTTGGGGGAGGTTTTTGGTTGGTGTTGGGTTGGTTGTTGTTTTTTTTTCCCTTGAGGAAGTGCACTTGAGGAAGAGGAAGATAATTGTTTGAGCGTTCACTGTCAAAGTGAGTTGTAGTTTCCAGGTTGCCCTCAGTATGGGAGGAGTTCTTATCCACCACAAACATGCATGTGGGGATGCAGGCATTCGTTATACTGGTGGTCTAGCTAGGTAATCATAGTGGTCCCTTCTGGACTTGAAATCAATGAAATACAAGAGGCAACGATAGAACATTTGACTGCGTTTCATCCTTGAAAAGATTGCTGGTTGACTGGTAAAATTATTTTCTTTGTAGGTCCCACATGAGCAGTCATGCAACTAGTTCCACTAGTGCTCCTGTTATGGTTCCTCTTATTTTTGGAAATTCTCTTAGTTATAGAGGGTTTTAGAATCTGAAGTGACTCCTCTGTGGAGGAAAGCCCCTATCACCTCCTTTAGGAATTCAGTTGTTCTTTTAGTATTTTTATTTTACTTCGAAGAACATGCAAAGTGATGCTAACAGTCCTTTGCACTTTATCTGCCATATCACTAAATCTTTCCTTGACCTAAGGAATAGGGTGGCTTCTTAGATGGGGATTTGGCAAATTGTGGTGGATGTTCTCCTGCTAATAGTATTGGTCTGACAGTTCCTGGGTGAAATGTTGGAGAGTGGATGAAGGTATAAAGATGACGGTAGAAGAGAGTGACGCCTAGTGGCAGGAGAATGGCAAAGATAATAATTAGTTTTGACGCACTGAACTAGTGAGATAAAAAGCCTGTCATTTGGAACTTTGTTGTATAGTGTGATGCGACTGCTACACAGATTTATTTTCCAAAGAAAGAAGACTGGGCAAGCCCAAGCTGTGAAGAATTTTAGGTCAAGGCATGTGTTAGAGGCTTTGTGTACTGATCTGTTGTGGAACATACTGTTTTAAATGTGTAAGGGAAGCACCGTTTGGTGTAAACAACCCCACTTTATTTATTTTTGGTGGGAATGTCTGGTTTTGTTCTGAGTGAAGGGAGGAAGCTAGTGGTCATGTTGCTGTGTTCCCTAATTGACTCTGTGTGAGCGCAGAGTTGAAGAGCTGCTCTATAAGGGAGACAAAACCTTTTACTGTTAGGTCACAAATGTATAGCCAGACCTTGTTGATTAAGTGGTGAATATCTGAAATTGCCCATTCAAAATTACGCTGAGAGGGTCATAGTAATTTTACACAGCAACCCTATGTATTGTCCTGCTGATACTAATAGAGAAAATCTAAATTTTTTGCTACCTTCTGATTTCTAAGCAGGCCAGAATGAGGTGGCAGTGTTTTGGCAGTGTGGCCTGTCTGGTCACAATCCTATAGAAAAAAGGGTTCTCTAAAGCTGGAAATTGGATACCTCTCCTGAGAGGTTGTGTGTGAGAGAGTAATATTAAAAGTGCTTTAGAAGAAAGCAGCGGGATGAATTCCACAGAAACAGAACCCAAATATGTGATCCAAGTATGTATCTTGCAGAATCCAAACCTCACTTGCAGGAGTTCCAGGGGGGGAAGGCGGAGGATAAGTCACCAGATATCAAAATGATGGTGTGCTCTATGCAGCTTAAAACTTAAAGGTTTTGATTCGATAAAACAAGGTAATAGTTATAAAAATCCCAGCTACAGAATTCTGAAGAATCCTAACAGAAAATAGAAGCATCAGAAGAGAAGTAAGTTTGGGCCAAGTGTGTAATTTTATAGTAGCTGGCTAAAGGAGGTGAAGTTTCTATGTGCTAAAACAAAAGAATATGGAGGGTTGGGGTTAGTAGGGAATTTGGGGCTGAAAAGAGAGATTAGGTGTGGTCCAAGCAGACAGGTGGATAGTTCTGTCAATTGCACCACACTTATAAATTTTAATACTTTGTATTATTTATTTGTGCAATGTTATGAAGTGGATTTTAAATATTTCATTAAAAGTATATTTTATCATAATAAGGCAATCTTTTTAGTATGCATCGTAGTGTGAGTTTTTTCACGCAAAGACTGTTATGGCATGTCTCAAAAACCTTTCGCATGTCTTAACTATATAATTGATAATACCTAAGAGCACCTGTTAACCTAAACATTGCTAGACCTGCTAGAATAAGAGAGCTATGCAATAAAGCAAATAACAGCACTCATTTTATTACTGGTTGGTTTGAGGGGCGAGGGGATTTTACAGTCTAGCTAAAAATATAACAGGACATGAAAATACAGACAACCTTTCATCTTCATCTTGATGGCCTAGAGTTGGAGTTACCAGTTCTGTTACACAGAGCCTCTTTTTTTTATACTCGAGTGTTTTTTTCACTGCCTTTTGGCTGCTCCCTTCAAGAGGATTTTCTGGTTTATGATTGTGGATGACTGTCTCATTGCTCTGAAACAAGACTGAAAAAGTTCTCTAACTGAGGGTTTTGGTGTCTAATTACTCTTATAACTAAGTGCTGCTTTTCAAGCCAAAGGTAGACTAGCCATAGTTTGTTTATAAATGTTGTTAATGTGAAACTAATCCCAGTCCTGTTGGGCCTCTGTGATAAGGTCCATCTGCAATCCAATGTAGAAAAATTCACAGTCAGCTTCAGTAGTGGCTGGATCAGGTCACGGGGTGTGCTGCTGCCATGATTTGGAAAACTCTTGCATAATACGTTTTTGGGTGAATTTTTTGTTTGCCTAGGTGGCTATTAGAGACTTCTTCCTGCTTTCTTGTTGGACAAGCTTATTCAAGGAGTACTGTTTGTGTCACCTTTCTGGCTGAAGCTTTTTAAAAAAACCAACCAACCAAACAAACCCCAAACAAATAACAAACTATGATGGGGTGGGGGGTGTTTGTTGTTGGTTTGGTTTTTTAAAGAAAAGTGTCTGATCTAAGACACCCTGGCCAGGCATCTGGTTCTCACTGTCTTCATACAGCATTCCTAAATCACAGTTTGCATTTGCCTCCATTTGTGTCCTGTCTTTATGTTTTTTCCAAAACCTGTCATCGTTTACCCTTCCATCCACCAATTTTTCTATAAGATTTGCTCCTACTTGCAGTACTGGTCATGGTCTTGCAGCAGTCACATTACCAGAGTGATGTCTTTTTCAGCATGTAGTTTTGGTTGCTTCTTCCACTAAATACCCATGTCCAAACCTTTCAGTTTTTTTTGCTTTTTCCTGATAACACTGATTAACACTGATGTCATGTACAGTTATAAGACACCTTTCTTAACCTCAGGGAGACTCCCACTTAAAGTGAATTAGAAGTGTTAAGCAAATTCAAGTTTGCTCTTGTACAATTTAATGTTTGTTGAATGGTATAGCATCTTTACAGTGTGTACATAAATAAAAGTATTTTATTGGATAATTGTCTACCGTGAGTTTCATTTACTGATGAAAATAATGCCTTTTATTTTTTTACTTGCTATTTGTACCTTAAACAGTTTTTGCAGTGCATGCACTAAAAAGATAACTTATTTTGAAATACTCTGTTAAACTTGACAAAGGTAATGTCATATCCATGCAAATAGCTATAAAACCTTGTAAACTAATGTCCCTTCACCAACATTAAACATGCTTATGTTAATAATATGTTAAATTACATGACTAAAACACTAGAAGCTGTGCTATATGTAAGTATGTATTAAAAACGGTTAAAAAACATCACTTGGAAATGACCCTTCTGGCTTATGTATTTGAAGTGTGCAGTCTATTTTTGCATTAGGCTCTAACTGTGAAGACACTTCATGGTTTAGTATGAGCCACCTTAATTTTAAAAAAAAAAAAATTGTCTCTTTGCTAAATAACAAAATACAATTCTAAGCATTAAACGTGTGGTGCTTTGCAGGAACTAATTCCTGATGCTTTTTAGCATTAGTGAGTTAAATGAAAATAGCGACATAACTGGCATTTTAATTATTCTTATAAGAATGCACTGTGTAAGCAACATGGCTGGCAGAATTTTGCTAGCTGCCTCTGCAGTGAAGTCCCCGAGATTAATTGAAGCAGAAGAAAGACGTTCATGTGTAAAGCTCCACTGACTGTGGAATGTCTGTGGGTACAGACTGGGATGAGAACAACAATGCATAACAGTACTTGTATGCACAAAGTCCTTTTTTTTGTAAATAGTCTGTATAAAAGGAATTTAAATGTTATTAATGTTTTGCTATTCAGATGTTTTAAGTTAATAGGTAAATATATTTTACTTAGTAGTTCCTACCATATTCCCAGCAAAGTATTAGAGCACATTTATGCTGACAGTGTTACTCAGTGATTACAATCTTTTGATCTTGTGTCATGGCACTGGTATTTAAGATGATAACTTGGAACAAAAAATAAGTGATGGTCATTAATTAAGTTATGCCTGTTGCTTTAGTTGTCAGCTCCCAGATGGGTTTCCAGTGTTGGAAGAGACATTGCATGCTCTGGATGTGATTGACTAATTAGTGTGTTCTGCTAGCAGTAGTGTCACAGA